CGATACTTTGACAATGAATGGTTGAGAGAACATTAACATCCAGCAAGGTTTATCACCCAGTCATGTACAGTTGATGTTGGTTCTAACGATACATGACTGTCAAATATCAAACAAGTCCATTCAAACCTCTTGTTTTTCAACGACAATCGTAAAAATATTAAGATTTATCAGCCAAGATATATTTCAATTTTTTATGGACATGGAACGGTTTTATTTATTTTTTAATCGAAGGAGATTTCATTTTGTGAGCTATTTTGACGATGATATTTTACAAAATCCAAACACTACATATTAAATATCCAGTGGAAATTAAAATAATACAATTATATGAAAGAATATCCCCTGTTAAGAAGGCCTCTTTGAAAACAAAAATAAATTGAACTAAACAGAAACATTTCTTTATAGAACCCATTAACCGTTTGTTTGTAGAATGGGTTTCGTGAGAATCACATCAGCTGTCATTGATTGGAACGCTTTCTGGTGTCGAACATAACAGAGAAATTAAATTACACTAATGCGTAGGAAAATAAGTGTACAATTAACTGTAGATGTCGAAAATTAAATATATGAGCTTTTGCTTATTCCAATCAAATAAAACCATAATCTATTTGGTTATAAGGCTGAATACAACTATACCATCTTAAATATAAATTTTATGAAAATATTAAAGTGTAATAGAGTTAAAGAATGGCAGGGTAAAATTAAAATAATACATACCTAGATACAAAAATCATTGATGAAAATAATGAAAATAAGATCATATGCGCCCTTGTTTAACAAAATGTTCAATTCTTTTCAATACATCTACCCTTGCACTGTAAACATTGACAGAATCAATGCTATGGTATTCTAAATGTTTAAATTGAGACAATAGTACAAAAAGGGGTTTTTGATATTATAACAAAAAAATATTCCCTAATTTTTAAATAAAAACGTGTAATACTCTGTAATTCCATGGAATATCAGAAATTTTCCAGCTCAATTATTTAACAAGGCCATTTACAAATTTCTAGAGCCTTCGAAGCTCTCGGCGGAATCGAAATTTTCCACAAAGCAATTAATACTTATATTGTATACTCATTAATTAAACTTGATCAAATAATTACCAGAGCTAATAAATTCTTTCACAAGACACTTTGGTTCAATCTTGCTAATGTTTCAAGGTATTTCAATTGTTCAGATGGAGTTATTAATTAAGCATTATAATGGTTTGTCACTTATAAAAAAAAGTAAAATAGAAAATGATGAAGTTTTAAAAACTAATAACTGTTTTTCCATTAGCTACCAATCAAAATAAGCATAAATATTTTCAGCGTAAAACAAAACAGCGTTATAAAGTAACATAGATATTAGCAAACATTATTTGGCATGGAAATAAACTTGTGTGTATTGAAGCCATTTCGAAATATTGTAGCTGTATCGATTATTGATTCATTGTTATGTATGCTTGGTAGTTTTTTTCTTTTGGAATCTACACATGCATATTGCACACTGCTCATATAGCCAATTGTATTTAACACAAAAATTGCAGACTAAATATTTATACTAAGCGAACTACTTATTGAACTTTTCGTAGACAAAATTTTACCTGAGGAGCAAAATTATTACTTAAACATGTATCATTGAGCTTTCAACAATATATAATAATATAATAATACATATTATGTATTTTTTAAATCCTCCTCAAAATACTTGTCACCAAACTCAAAAGTAAGACTTTGTTTAAAGTTTTATTTGTGAAACATAAAAACCACCAATATACTGCAAGATTTAGGCCATCTATTTTAGTTGGATCAATCCAATTATCAATACACAGTTGGGATTGTTAGTAATTAATTACCACTATCAATTGAGTTCTAGGGGATTAAGTCCCGTCCTTGGATTATGTCAACCTCAACCAACATCTTAAGACGTTGACGATACCAGTGTGTACCTTCTATAAGATAACGTTAAGGTAACACTAATATTATTAATAAAGCATACTTTTCGACATATATTTCTTTCTTATGGGCCAACTGATGAGAATTACAAGCTCGTTGGTTATTACCTGTAGTGTGCACTTAGTGTTTATAATTATTTGTACTCCACTAAATAGAAAACAATTTTCACCAATTTAAAGATTTATTAGTTTACTTTGGCATTTATTGTGATGCGTCAACTAAAGAGCACATTTTGTAAAATTAGCCCTAAAATGACAGTTATAAATTGTATCAACATAAAATATCCAGTTAACTGTGCTCTAAACAGATATATTTTGTGTTTTTTTCGATTGTTTAAGTGCGACCGTATTTGCTATGAATAAGCCACCATTAAAAAAAAACTTGTTTGGATCTTATCGTAGACCATCTGTGGTTTGCTGTGTTATTTGTTTATCAAAAGACCTTCAACCAGACGGTATTTAAATTGTTTGAGTTGTTTGAGTGGAGTTTTAGGTAAGTGTTAGAATAGAATAGAATAATAATGGCTGCCATAAACAAATTTTACTTTCTAAAAAAATCCACCTCAACGTCGAATAGGAATTTCCTATATAGGGAATAAATTATTACTGTACACCTAATGGCAAGGTTTAGACCCGGAAATCTTCACCTTTTCGTTTTGAACTTAATAAAAAAAAGTAATGACCGAGCCAGTTTTTCACAATGCAAAAATGAATGTCACAAAAGAAACCTTTTGTTTGGTTAAAATTCCGACAATTAATCTCCTAAATCAGACAATTTAATTTTAAATCAGAGATTGGATGGATTTGCGTTCAGCTGATTGATGTTATGGCCAATTAATTACTGAAGATGTCATAATCAAACATTGGACGAATAATAAAATGACCAACGCGTGGTGCTGTTAGTGCTTCATAAACAGTTCAGTTAAAATTTGTTTTTTTCTCATATATTTCAAAAAACCATTGATTAAAAAAATTACAAGAATGACTTTTTATGGCAATTAAATTATAAATCGATTGACACCTTATTTTTTGAGATAAGTCAAATATTAACTGAGTAGAAAAAGTTTAATAAGTAAAAAAACAAAACGGTGGCTCTGTTAGTAACTATGGACTTCCGTACAATTTAAATATGAAATTTAGATATTTGTTTTTAGCCAGTAACAAAAAAATATTGATAAAATATAGCTTTAGAGTTCTGAGACACCCTGCATATGTGTAGTATACTTTAGTATCCAATTTCAAAAGTAAGTTAAACTTTTAATTTTAGTCAAATACTATTCATAAGTAGTAATACAATCAAATTATTATTTGTCATTTAAGTAAAAAAAACACCAAGCATACCAATATAAACAAAAAATTCACAATAAAAATATCTAAGAACCAAACAAAGCCCAACCAATATAGACGAATATACAATTGAGTGATAAAGTTACAGTCACCATTACTACCTAAAGCTGTGTTAATTTCAAGTTGGCAACAGAGTTAGGGACAACCGATACTCGAAAGTGGCCAAACTCAATGTATTAGTTTGCATCAGACTGATCAGATAGCTAACTCAGATGTCAGTAACAACGTTATATTATCACCTTGTAAATAATAAAGTAATAAAGTAATTTGTAATCATTCATGGTTTTATTTACATGATTCTGGTTTTATGATAAACATGTTTTTGTCGTAAGTATGTATGGGGTAACGTTTACTACACTGGATGAAAACAAGAAGGATGTTTAGATAGATAACTCAATTTAAAAAAGATAAAATTCAAGATTGTCTTTAAAACTTGAAGCAACGGGCGACAAGTAAGCTGGTTAGTGTATAAATCAACAAAAGTTCGCTATTTTAAAAAGTTAAAGTTCGCTTTTTTACAAAAATGTGAACAAATTAGCTGACATTTTGATCCAGACCAATTTCCAATTTTAATTAATACAAGCTCTGGAAATATCGGGGAACTATGTGGTAACCCCACCCCACCTACTATAGAACGTTTCTCAATTAAACATTAACCACAAACTTCGTCTTACAGATTCTATATTTTTAATTAGGAAATTGGGTATCAATTGAGTGATTTCAATGGCAATGCCAGAATAAACCACAAAGATTACAGTGCTAGTTTACGATTTACTAAATACTATAATATTCCCAACCTTCAAACATAAAATAATAAATGAGTTTGTAGATTTAACATCTTTTGAATTATATAACTAATGGAGCCAAAAGTACTTTACAAGCAGCTTCGATGAACTCCCTTTTTCTATTTGCTATCATAGGCCTACCTCATAGCAAAGTACAGGGGGAAAGCTAATAGTAACATGAATAATTCCAAAATACAGTAGGGGTCTTAGATCTTTGCAAAATCTTACTTTCTAAAATCAAAGCAATTATTCATCATTTAAGTCTCAAAGTCTCTATATTTAAACAAATTGAAATCATTACACCACGTTCGTAACGCACTTCGTGCGAGACTATTCATAAGGGTTATGAAACAACCGCTAAACGTGTACACTACAAAGTATGAAATCGGTGGTCAATAAATGTCAGAACGCCGAGGGAAATGTCAAAGGTAACTCTTGGAATGTGTTCATTACAGCAGACTGGTTAACATCAATGAGTGTCTGAAAATAGAGAACTTTGTAACAAACATTTCCATAAACGTAAACTAAAACCAACGTCCTTTATGTATACAAATGTAAAATGTTTTTAAAGTAAAAAAAAAAAATACTTGCAATTATTATTATTATTATTATTATTATTTTATAAGAGTCACCTTAATAATTGTACCAACACAAACATTTTGTATTAAATAAAACAGGTTGCAATCACTTTGAGCTACACTAAAACCAGCTTAAGAAGATGTTTTGGCTAGTGTGTTCCTGAGGCTTTTTGCTTTCTTTGATTCCTTATGGATATTGATTGTGTGATTTTTCTTTTTGTTTTATAATATTATCCTGTACAATCATACAAGCTTTTTTTACAGTCTTAGGCGTTTTAAGCAAACATTAAATCAATGTGCATATTATATTTTTTACCTTTGATTATATTAATTCTCTGTACAATTGAACAGAGGTGAGAGGGAGATGAGAAAACAAGTAATAAGAGGTACGTTGGAGGAAAGGAGACCATTGAGAAGGCCAAGGATGAGATGGATTGACGAGGTTACAAAGGACCTAAGGAGTATGGGAGCAGACCTGGAGCTGGCAGAGGACAGAGGATCCTGGAGGCACATGGTTGTCGAGGCCAAAGACCACCTTGGCTTTCAATGGCCACAGGAGCAAGAGTAAGTAAGTAAGTACAATTGAACATAAATAAACATTTGATAAATCATGTTAAGGGTAGTACATTTTCTTAAGCTCAATCCTTTTCCTGGTAAGTAAAGGATGTGACAAATAATTTTTACTTCAACTTCATTCGAATTATTTTTCACAGGCAATTTTATGTAATGTATGTTGAGTAGTTTTACTCATCCGAACGCATTATGTCAGCTTTTTGGAAAACTTAAGTACCAATGAAGCGCCAGACTGTGTATCACGTATAAATCATTTATTTATTTTATTACCAACGGCATGCATAATTTTACACTACACTACAAATGTAACATCAAGGTGCAACAAAAATAGAGAAGCTGTCGATTAACAGATATAAACTACGAAAACGAACATAAACTATAAATAAAATATACGAGGAAGCATAAGAAATAAAAATAAAACGTAAAGATCAGGTACATCTAAAGCTAAATCACCATGCATTAAATGGTAAAGAAAAATCATCCAAATTGTGTATTTCCTATTGTGATAAGACTCGTTATTATTTACAAAAACTAATAAACAAAGATAGATTGCAAAAATGTTCCTCAGAATAGTAGGGGGTTATAATAGTTTCGTTGCACGATGAAAAATTATCGTAATTAAAATCGAACCACAACAGAGGGAAACAAATACCGTTGGGTGGAAGTGGTTGAAATTTACAACCAGCGAAGTTCAATACTTTGACAATGAATGACTGAGAGAACATTAACATTGACAGTGAGGTTTATCATCCATTGGACGTTGTGAACTGCTTTTGGTTCTTAACGATCCATGACTGTCAACCATCAAACATGGTCATCAACACTTTTATTTATATTTTGTCTCATACATCTGGAATAAATTATTACTTTCAAATGAAAAAAATCTATCAATGGATAGTTAGAGGGTTTATGATAAGCAATTCCAGGTAAATTTCATATAATCCTTTTATTTAAACATTTTGGGAAATTAACCATATTGTAAAAAAAAAAAAAAAAAAAAAAAATAGACTGGGACGGTGGCGTTGTTCTGTAATCCAGCTACTAGGAGGTCACGATTTGTGGATATTTTTTAGAGATGCATTGAGGATGCGATACTCCCTGGTGCGGATTAATGTCCGCACTAGTGAGTATTACGACTATCCGCAGTACTACCCTGATATTTAGACCAACTAGTAACTTGTAGGGACATAAGTCCCTAAAAAGCTCAAATGTAAAAAACTTTTTGCAATACCGGTATTTAAACAAACTCAGAATAACATTATCTATGTGTCAGAATAGGCATCCCTACACCATATCTTTTGTGTAAAAACCAGTTTGTTGTTCTTCTTTGTTTGCTTTTGTTGATGTCATTTTCAATAAATAATTTGAATCACTCCAGTGGTTTAACATGAAAAGGCAGCAAACATATCATTGTTTGTGAATAAATACTGGTTTACTAAGGTAGCTTTGGTCTTGTGGTTAATGAGGATAAATAAAAGCTTCCCTGTTTGGAAATTTAAAAATTCATTGGAGGTTCGCCTTCAGATGAATTGAAGACGCCTGCAATTTCATCTGCAGTAGGCTTATTATACCTACGACGATCCATATTTATCCTGTCTACAAACCTAAGTTCTAATTCACTGTCACCTTGTACAACCATTTCTTCCGAAGCTCTTTTGTAAATTTGTGCAAATGGATTTTCTAATAGAATTTCAGCTAGTTTTCACAATATTTCAGTTTTTAAGTAACTATTTTCTCGACGCCTTTGACGAATTTCTGTTGCTGTTGATGTGTCAATAATGTACAATTGGCCATACACGGGGTCTTCATCATGTTGAGGCAGCAACTCTGAGATTGAACGATAAATCTGTCCTTGAATTTTGAAACAGTATGGTCCTTTTCCTGGAATATCTTTCTTACTGGCTGAAAAATAAGCTAAAGCCATCGCACTGTTGCATTGTCGAATGAATTTATACAGTTGTGGACTCTCTTCAAACAAACTTTTAAGTTCTACATTAGTTTATGAATGAGGAAGGTTAATAAGTCCGTTATGGCAACATGTCATAAAATGATTATTCGTTAGTTCTTCTCTAAAATGAAGAGCACTACATTGAATGCACTCTTGGTCCAGTAATCCTGCATCATGGATCTTTACGTTTCTCTCGTCTACCATGGGTCTCCTAAAAAGGGGTTGTAACATATCTTGATTAAGTTCGTCATTATCTACTCTTGCTCTCCTACGCGCACTGTCATTCCTATGAACAGTTCCCCGCCTTTGTGGTATTCCCCTGGCGTTCATATTAATTACAGTACTTATAATGAAAAGAATATATATCCAGCAGCCTACATACCAAAACATCTTGAATCCCTGGTGATTTTATAAAAGTATGTTCGAATATGATTACTCTACGTTGTACCCTATATTCACTGCACTAAAAAAATTTACTTACGAAGGAATGCAAATACACCATTTTAGAACCAATAACATTTATAGGTTATTTTAGTTGTATATATTTACACAACCTTAACCTTAAAATGTGTAGAAATATAAAGAAAACAACATCATTTAAAATAAACTTGAACATATGATTTAAAAATAAAAACAAAACAGAAGTTAGATTTAATTTCGACTCTTTGATTATTTATACAGAATATTTATTCTATGTCGTTAATTCCTTTAACACGATAATAACGTAAAAGCATGAAAAAATGAAACTTGAGTATATGATTTAAATATAAACAAAGAATGCAGACGTTTTTTTTTGACTAATCTTCAATATTTCAGTTTTATTATAGTATACATTTCATAGTTGACTGGCTAAAAGTAAACCAAATGCGTGTATTGGTCACTGTTTCTAATCTGTGGCACAGCTGTTTTAATTTCAAAAGATGTAAACAAATTAAACCCCATGTTGTTTTAATGAGAAAAGTTTTATTCTGTTGCGAATTTATGGTAAAAAAAATAAGAAAAATGAATAGTTTCCCTCAAAATTCACGTCAAGACCTTTAAAATAAGACCGCTCCCATCCTTCTACGGCCATCCAGTCACTCACAATTTCTTTACAAAAATTTGACTTACGGAATTATATATATAGATTCGTTAATACCAAGGCAAGAATGTGGTTTGGATCCGACTATAAACTGTAGGTCCCTTGGTTGCCATTAGCTGTTTGGTTGGTAACGGTTTATCGGGTCAAATGAAACAAAATAGCTCAAATAGATTTAGCTGATGATTGATTGAATAAAAATGTGCATATGAATTATGCTCGGGGAGCGAGCTGGTCTGGTCTAGTGGTTAGAGCGCGGGACTTCAGTCCAAGAGGTCTGAAGTAGCCTGAAGTTATGTGAAAAATAATCCTAGGCTCGTGCCTAGCGCCCAAGGACAAAAATATATTTTGAACTAATTTTAAACCAAACAAAATTTGTTTTAACGTTGAAGCGCTGAATTGCAGAAAACATGTGGACGGTGCATGTGTATTTATGTAAAAGTATGAGGCATTTGAATTTCAAAGCCTTGCCGATCAGTTTGGCCGATGAGGCGTCTATACTGCTTGTTCAATAGAATTTATGAGGATATTGCTTAGGAAATACTTGTTTAAAGTTACAATATATATATATATATATACAATTATTTTTTTAAAATGAGGTTTACTTAAAAAGGACCATACATTATTACGTTTTTTAAATAACGACTCTATGAATTATTGATATATTATGTAGCTTATTCTTAAAGGGGTCTAGTGTAGCATTTTTCAATTTAACGATGAAATTTATTTGAAAACCTTTAATGATTGGTTTTTACAAATACAAAATACAGTACAATATTTAAACATACCATTGTGTATATATTCAGGTGTATACTCAACGACACTTCTTCGAATCCATTATGGCCATTTTATTTGACGCTCAATTCTGTGAGAACATCGCCACGTGCTTTTGATTGGTTCAGATACTTAACTACGACGTTTTTGGAAAGAGACGTAAACCTGGCTATTGAAACTACCTGTTTGAGAGAGATTCTGACACAATTAGTAACCTTACTTGGGCCTGAGTGAGATAGGTAACGAGGAATGGAAATATCCCAATGAAAAAAAATTTCATCGAATATTGTATTGAACTGGTATTGTTATTGTATTGTATTGGCAACTATTCAACCACAACAATCATTATAACCATCCAACTTATAAAAAATAGTTTGTTCATGTTTTGGGAATATACTGCCTAATAGTTCTAGGGTAAAAGGAGTAGTTTATTTCATGATAAACCATTTGAGTGGTGAGCGCAAAGGTGATAATTGATTGACCGACCAAGCGACATTTGTGACAAGTGACTCTTGGAAGTATATTATTTTCTTTAAATAAAATCTATGAACACTAGGGGATAAAAACGAAAATTTCGTTCACAGAAATGGCAATAACTGTACGAAAACGAGCAAAAGTAGTCGACTTTGAAATAAATTGAGATGTTAACCATCCAGAGGACCGATAATAGACGAGAGAAACACCCATAATGAAGGTTTAATGGTCTAGAGTGCATAAAATATTGTTCTTTAATTTTTAAATAAGAACCTAATAATAACCATTTAAAGTCATGATATCACAACGGGCTTATTTGTCCAACCCAGGCAAGAACGAAACCATTTCTTTAAACGGAGCCCCCAACTAGTATGCATATTCAATACACCAGGGCATTGCTTATTTTTTAGCACACAAGAAAGACATTGGGTTGACCCTATTGTTTTAAAACTCAAGGGCAGATATATTGTCCAGTCGTTTATTTTGTGCCAACAAACACAAGTGAAGGCCACTCTTAATGTCAATAATTATACATTTTTTTACACTGAACTGGCATCCGAAATTTATCAAAGGTGCATATACGTATACATATAAGCCTATATAATAAAAAGGTCACTGTTCTCATGTATTTTGACATTTTGTAATTTAAAATAGAGTATTACATTACATATAAGCCTATGTTCATATTTACAAAAGAGCTACATGAACATGGCTACAAAAG